CGGCACCAATGTGGAGCGAGCCATTTGAGCTGATGACATATGCAAGCGACTATGCCGTCGGCGCTATACTGGGACAAAATGTGAAATCCAACCTGAATGTCATTAATTATGCCAGTAGGACGCTGGACTCCGTGCAAAGAAATTACACTACAACTGAGAAGAAGTTAATAGTCATTGTCTTCTCTTTCGAGAAGTTCAGACAATATCTGATCAGGAGCAAAACCATAGTTCATACCAACCATGCAACACTAAAGTACTTTATGGAGAAGAAATAGACCAAGGCCCGCTTAATTCGATGGGTTTTGTTGCTCCAGAAATTTGACATAAAGATTAAGGACATAAAAGGGAAAGCAAACTTTGTTGTTCACCATCTCAGTAGACTACGACAACCGGTGGACACATCCCTAAGTACAAATAATTCTTTTCCTGACGAGAAATTGTTCCTTGTGCAAGGTAAGGAGCCATGGTTTGCAGACCTAGCAAATTTCTTGGTCACATGATAGTTTTCCGCTCATACTGTCCATAGGGAAAAGAAGCATCTTCTCAGCTTGGAAAATGACTATTTTTAGGATGAATCTTATTTGTTCAACATCGGCTCTAATGGGATTATCCGTCGATGTGTAGCGGAATCAGAAGTCCTGTTAATTTTGAATGAATGTCATGGCTCCCATGTAGGAGGGCAAGTACTAGCGAAGTTTTTTTCTGTGTTAATAGTTTTTACGCAATTACATTCACTTGTTCTATCATTACGTGTTATAAATATATGTTTCACTTACTCACTTTCCTTATTCGTTCATTACATCCATGAGAACCTAGCCATCTCACAACATACAACGCAGACACAACATTATCTTATCCTTCTCATCACTAGCCTACCATCATTCACATACACATATATAATCCGCTCCCATTCGTCCGCTTACTTCCGCTCACCACCGTTCTCGCTGTATCCATCGCTCGCCTACTGCCTTCACCGAACGCCTCATCAACCGCTCATTTTTACTTGTTTTTCTTTAAATTTTGTATTGTTAACTCTTCAGCTCACTCGAGCAAGCCAATCTTAATGTTTTTTCATAACGCGTCACTTGTACAAAATTCTTAATTTAAATTTTGCGACTTAAAATTTATGTGTTCAACCTGGAAGCTCACCAGTAAAATAAGTATAATAATTGTGATAATGCGATTCAGGGTCTACAACTTCATTTTCATTATCTATATCTGAAGATGTCCAATAATACACAATTCACTCAAGAAACTCATAAGAAATTCTTTGTGAAATTTTTGTACCGCTTAAGGATCCTCTTTGCTTAACGGATAGAATTTCAACTTCAGAATCTCGTTGCAGTGGTGGAAATTATTTGGGCACTGGGACTTAGGCTGAGTGGGATTTTCATTTCTTAACAAATGAGGTGTATGCCTTCGTCGCTTCGTTAAAATATAACCATTTGGGCCTAAATTTCGCTGAAAGTGGGCTAAAAGTTAGTAAATCTCAACTAGGATAATTGGATCATATCAAGAAAAAGATAAATCAATAAAGAATGTCATTAAGATATTATGATGGTTTTCGCACAAGAATCCAAATAATACACAAATTGTACAAGTAAAAAAATATACTCAAATTTGAAGTTATCACATATGAAAACCAAAATATGTCAATCCAAAAAGTGGTCGATGGTTTTCTTTTCCTTTTATATCACATTCTTTTTCTTCCACCTCACTAAAAAAAGTATATATTTTTTAATATATCAAAATAATTAATATATTATTAAATTTAAAAATATATATATCAATATATCATTTGTAAAAAATAAAATTTTATAAATAGTGATGTGGCGGTGACGTGGGAGTTGCTACATATGAGAAAACCAACCGATGCAGATGCTCTAATCAATTATCAATTCATTACAAAGCCACATTTGCCGCCGCCAGCAACACCAAGTTCTTCCTCTTTCTCCTTCTTCTTCAATTCTCTCATTCCTTCCTTTTCTATTTATTTATTTTCTTTTTTTCTTCTTCACCCAGCAGTCTTCAAGCACCATCCCCTACTGCTCTATCGCCTTCCCCACTCCCCACCAGTTAATATATACTTTCTTTCAAAAAATAAAAATAAAAAACCGCCAATTCGAACAGAAAACTGCCGACTTGAGTTTAGAAAAAACCGGTTTAGGTTTGATGACGGTTTCAGTACCGGAACTGCCGGTGTGAAACAGGAAAACCGGTTTCGGTTCGATGACGTCTATTTGAAACTGGCAAACCGGCGTTTCCAATGACCGGTCCGAAACCGATGAAACAAGTTTGGATAGGAGAGACTCGTGACCATTTCTGACAAAAAGAAAGTCTACGAATCAACATTAGACATAGGGTTTGAGAGTGGGATTTTTAATTTAAATTCTATACAGTAATTGTACCGTGTTTTCTAAATCCAATCGGCCAAACAAACACAACCATAAAAAAAATAAATATATAAATTAAATCAAAAAATACAACGCATTCGATAATTGAAAATAAAGGACGACGCCGGAATAACAATATATTGTATTCGATAATTTAAAAAGAAAAGACGATAATAATACATATTTATTACGATGGTAAATATTTTTTAAATAGTATAAAAAATATATATTTCAGAAAATTTGATAATAATTTACTAATATATTTTAGTTTCAAATTATTATTTTATCAATATTATAATAATATTGTTGAGTAAGAAAAAACCAATGTGCGGGGTTTTCGAAATGGGCCTAGGGCTGTGGACTGGTGTATAGTTCAATGGATCTGTTAATGGCAGTGGAATCCTAAATGGGTCTGAATATAAGCCAAACGGCCTAAGTGTTATTAAGAAATGAGTTTTTTCGGGAGAAACCTGTGATTAGGATATCGGTGAATATAGAGGTCGGACAAAAGGAAGACAGACGAAGAAAGATGAGACGACCGATACGGTGGTCGGACAAAAGGAAGACGGGCGAAGAAAGATGAGGGCCGATACGGAGGTCGGACAAGAGGAAGTCGGACGAAGAAAAATGAGACGGCCGATACGGAGGTCGATCAAAAGGAGGTCGGGCGAAGAAAGATGAGATGGAAGACACGGAGGTCGGACAAGAGGAAAGGTCTGTTAATTGGTCCGGCGAAGAAAGGTCTGTTAATTGGTCGTTTAATCAAGCTACCTGTTAATCGCCTGATCGATTGGTCGGTCATTTGGTCAAACAGTAGTTCAGTCGCTTGAAAGGGCGTCAGTTGGTCGCTTGATTGGGCGATTGATTAAATCGTCTGGACGGATGATTGTTCAGCCGATTGAAGGGACTGGATGGTGGTCACTTGATTTGGCGACCAATGAATCGTCTGGACGAATGGTTGTTCAGCGTTTGAAGGGACTGGATGGTGGTCGCTTGATTAGGCGACCGATGAATCGTCTGGACGAATGGTTGTTCAGCTATTTGAAGGGACTAAATGGTGGTCGCTCGAGTGGGCAACTGATTAGTCGTTTGGTCTAGCGACCAGTTAGTATTTGGATTGGTCGGTTGGTCAATCGTTGGGTTATTCGGTAGGTTCAGTCGATGGATGGTCGATTTCTCAATCGGATGATGATTTATGATCCGTATGAAAAGACGGTTAAGGGAAGTTACAACCGGCGAGCGGATCGAACAAGTGGAAGACGGGCAAAAGGAGACGTAGCAGCAGGTGTGCCGGTCGGACGAAAAGCAGTTTTAAGACGGTTGAGAGAAGTTACAACCGGCGATCGGATATGAAGGCACAACATGGTTGTGTCGGTTGACATAGGTTTTTAAATAGGTCTCTCACGACCTAAAGAAACCATCTTCAATCGACATCAAATTCAGTGAAGTTTCTTTTAGGGATCACCATTTTACTTTTACAGTCTGTAGTATTTATTTTTCCTATTTTATTTATGTATCGTACGGTGTCTAGGGATTCTTAAATCTCAGGCATTTTATTTTATCAAATCCGAAGATAATCTCTATTTTCGAATTTTATTTTTTATTTTTGAAAATCGACATCAACAAATATTAATAAATATTATCATATTATTTATCACTTATATAATAATAATAATAATTTTAAGAATCCATCCGTTTGGGACTCCCATTTGCGAATAAATAATTAATAGCTGTGTTTTTTCTAACCATTCGAATTTTTAGGTAACACGGTCGTTCTGTGCATCCAGCATGGAATAGAGCCTTAGGTCTCGAATAGTTGGTATATGCATATGCAGGTTTCGCATACCTCTACTCGCTTCCTATACCGTAAAAAAAGAAAAAAAAAAAAAAAAAAAAGAAAAGAAACGTTAATTTTTTTTTTATTATTTTTATTAGTAATTTCTTTTAATTTATATTTATATATCTTTTTACCTAAAAAAATAATTCAATCCATTATATTAATATGTTAAAACCCACGTAACATTTTCATCAATGAAAAATTAGTAACAATTTAAAAATAATAATAATATTACTAACGATGATGGGTCATACATCTTTATATATTAAATATATATATATATAATATAGATATATTTTCGATAAATATAAACAATAATAAAATGAACATAATTTTATAAAACAGAAAGAATGTAATATTTGATTATTTTCAAAAGTTCTTTTTTTTTTTTTTCGCTAACAATAACAAATTCATATCCTCTCATAACTATACAATTTATTAAATTGTACAGAATTCGTATTTCTTATCCCCAAATTTACATTTACAAACTTTACAAGTACTCAATCCTCATTATAATTTAAAGGTAAAATTGATCATAATTTTTTCTCTATACAATGTTGCATGAAACACAAATCTCTATTGTGTGTCCTATTTATATTTTTTGCACGATAGAAGGTTTCATGCAATATCATGCAATTTTTTTTTAAGTAGAATTGAAATTTACACTGAGTTTCAAATTTAAAAAATAAGATGAAATTATGGACAAATTTGTCTAATTTAAAAGAATTCTTCTATATAAACATTCCTCCTAGTGGTGCCACACACAAAAACAAAAACCAAAAACTCTCGCAAGCCATGGCTCAGCAGTGGCTCAGCCTAGTCGGCGCCATATGGCTCCAAGCCATCAACGGCACCAATTCAAACTTCCCGGCTTACTCCTCCGAGCTGAAGCGCCTCCTCTCAATCTCCCAGCTCAGCCTCAACAACCTCGCCTCCGCCTCCGACGCCGGAAAACTCCTCGCCTGGCTCTCCGGCGTCGCCGCCGCCCATCTCCCCCTCTCCCTCGTTCTCCTCCTCGGCTCCCTCCTCTGCCTCGCCGGCTATGGCGTCCAGTACCTCTTCCTCGCCGGCCACCTCTCCTCCCTCTCCTACTACCACATTTTCGCCCTCACCGCCGTCGCCGGAAATGGCATCTGCTGGATCAACACCGCCTGCTACATCATAGCCATTCAAAATTTCCCCCTCGACCGCCAGATCGCCGTCGGACTGTCGACCAGTTACGTCGGCCTCAGCGCCAAGATATACACCGACGCCGTCGACGCCGTAGCGCCGCCGTCGCCGTCGGATAGGGCGGCGGCGTTCCTCCTCCTCAACGCCGTGGTGCCGGTCGCCGTCTGCATCGCCGCCGCGCCGTTAGCCCGCCGCGACGTCAGCGTCAGGAAGACGAGGAATCTGAGGGTTGGATTCTTCACCATGTTCGTCGTCACCGTCGCCACCGGCCTCGTCGCCGTCGTGACCAGCCTCGGCTCCGCCGCGTCTCGCTCAATCCCTAACTTCGTAATCCTTATCGCCATTGTTGTTCTGCTCCTCCTGCCTCTGGTCGTCCCGATCGTCGAAAAGGTGAGAGAGAATGTTCAGCAGAAATGCTTAATTAGAGTCCACGACGAATGCTCCGCCGCAAGCACCACCGTCCGTACATCAATGGCGGATGATCGGGAAATAGGTGATAAGTACGACGAGATTGAGGTTGTTCAGGATATTAATGCCCGAATGATGGTGAAAAGCGTCGAGTTCTGGCTGTATTTCTTCGTCTATTTGTTCGGAGTGACGTTAGGTTTGGTGTACATGAACAACCTGGGACAAATCGCCGAGTCCCGGAGCTGCTCCGGGACTTCCTCTCTCGTCTCCTTGTCCTCTGCTTTCAGCTTCTTCGGTCGCCTCCTCCCGTCGCTCATAGACTATATTTTTCCCAGGTATTTATTAATTTATTTATATTTAAAAGAGAAATATCATTGTTTATTCCCTATTTTAACTAAGGATGAGTAATTTATTTATTTTTTAAAATAAATTTGTGGCTGGTAGAAATTTGTAGTGATGATAGACACGAAGCTATGATTATCGGATTGATGCTAATTAATTAGGCAAGTTATTAGATAAAATTGATTTGAGTTACGTGAAATATAAATAAATGTGACAAAAAATTGGAGCCACAAGAAATGGGGAGGGGCATAAATGCTGTTGTTATTGTTGTTGTCATTTGATTTTGTTGAGACTAAGGAAGTCTAAGAGATAGATATGGCAGACTTCTTTTCTTGTTTTTTTTGGTGTCATAATAATTAATGTGGTGTCCAGGAAAAATAAAAAAAGTTGGTTGAGAAATTTAATTGGAATTTGCTATTAATTAATTAATTTATTTATTTATATTTATAATTTATATGCATATATGGTTTGTTATACTTCCACCACTCCTATGTCGAGAGTCAATTTACGAGGTCGAGGGCCCCAAATTCATAAATGCAATCTCCATTTCATTCATCAAATGTTAAATATACTATGGTTGTCTAGTGTAGTAAATGTCATGTTCGATTTTATATTGATTTGATATTTTGAATATAAAATAAATTTATAATATATTATATATAAAAAAAAGTTGTTTGATTTGATTTTTTTTTTTAAAAAAAAAAAAATTTGAATAATAAAAAGATGAGTTAAAACCCACTAAAGAACATAACCTAAAAAGTTTTAAATTGGATATATTTGACATGAATATAAAATAAAATTTATATATAATATATTTCATTAAATATGATGTGGTATTTTAAAAAACTAAAAAATACAATATCCCCTCAGTTTCATTCAAATGAATCGTTTAGAATTTTGTACTAGATTAAAAAATAGGAGTAATATTTTATTGGTTAGTAGAAGTGCATAAGAGGTTAATATTTGTCTTTTGACTTTATGTGTAAAGTTATTGTGTGTATAATAGTATGTTTGTAATTTAAATAAAAATTAAGGTATTTTAGTATTTGTGTATGATTAATTTTTTTAAAAATAAAAAATAGATATTTTGAAGTGGACAGAAGAAAATGCTAAAAATGATATTTTGAATTAGAACCGATGAAGTATAAGCCACTGTAAATGTAAAGTTGAAAACAAGAAGTAGAAAAAAAAAAGATACGTACAATGAAACAAATTGTGGTTTGAAATTGATTTGAAATAAAACGTTGATTTGAGTTTTTTTTTTTTTTTAAATAATATTTTGAGTTAATATTATATGAGAAAAATTATATATTTTTGGTGAAAACTTTGCTATAAAAATATTATTAATTTAGTTTGAAATTGTTAAAAGAATAAACACTAATTTGTTGAATATTGATTAGGCATAATGTTTTATACATTTAAAATAACATTTGTTGAATAATTTGTTTTATATAAATTATTTAGTGTAAAATGTCTTATATGTCAGTTTTAATGACTTATTGTTATTTGAACAGAGTTTGAATCATAAAATATATAAATGTATTGTTCAGGAACAAAAAATTGATATCAAGAGCGGGAGCCATGGGAATGATAATGGTCCCGATGAGCGGAGCACTATTCTTATTACTCAACGAACAACATATTTTTCTTTATATTAGCACGGCGATTATAGGAGCATGTACTGGCGCTATCACTTCAATTTCAGTATCAACAACTACTGAACTCTTTGGTACTGAAAATTTTGGCGTCAATCACAACATTATCGTTTCCAACATACCCATCGGATCGTTCTTCTTTGGAGATTTTGCGGCGATACTCTACCGACGACGAGGGCAAAATGGTAATTGCATGGGTCACCAATGCTATGAAACCACATTCATGATATGGGGCTCATTGTGTGCCTTTGGAGTTTTTTTGGCCTTAATTCTTCATGCGAGGACCAAGAAATTGTACTCTTGTAAATAAATAATTTGGATAATTTAATTCATCATTATAATCCGCGAATTATAAAATGGAGATTGACTCACCATAGAGAGCAAATTGCAAATTTTGACATATATATATATATATATATCACTACAAAAAAATAATAATATATTTATAACGGAATCCCGTCACTAAAGATTACGTAGCTAACGTAATTTCATCATTAATTCTGTTTATAATATCATTAGTAACGGAAAAAGTGAATTTAAAGACGAAAAAATATCGTTACAAAAATGATATTTTCTTGTAGTGCTATATTGAATTATTATTTTTATTTGTATCTTTGTTTCTTTTTTTGGTTATTTCTTATACACAAAATATATTTAAACTATTCTTCTTAGTTATTTAAAATGTAATCATAATCAATAAATGTATTCAAATAATTTTAAAATATTATTTTGTTAGTTTTCCTATTAACAAAATTAAATGAACATCTATTACTTTTATTTTATTTGGTTTAATTGTAATTCAATTAGAAATTATTTGTCTTAGTTTTCTATTAAAAATAGTTGGATTTTTGTATATACTGATTATTTGATACAATATCGATATTTTTTTTAATAAATTAAAAATTTTGGTACGGTATACAATATATTTCGATATTTTCGGTATACCATCTCAAACCATCTCTAACTGAATTGTATACACGGTATTAGAATATAATATTTTACGTCAATTTTGCTTTATAAATAAGTTCTATTTTTAATTTTTTTTGAACAAAGAAAAAAAAAATCAATATCAAATTTCATTTTTAATTAACTTTTCAACCATAAATTTTCAAATCAAAAATCAAATTTTTATTATATATTACATTAAAATTTAATTTTAAAATTAAATGAATATTTATTATTTTTATTATTCAAAATTTTAGCCTAACTTTAAATTTACAATTAACAAATAATAAAACTAAAGATATTATTAAGTTAATAAAATATAGTTAAGTCTTTTTAATTAGACTTATTAGTTATTAATTATTACTATAATAGGAAAGTGGACTAATTTCGTGGGACGGCTAAAAAAGTAAAAGTGGACTAATTTCGTGGGACGGCTAAAAAAGGAAAAGTGGACTAATTTCTTGGGACGGAAGGAGTATTTTACTATTTGATTCGTTGTGTTTGTTTGGAGGTTTGAATTTTGAATTGTTATTTAAATAGTATTCCCTCTGTCCCATAACTAAGTATTTATTTACTTTTTGCGTGTTGATATTTGGATATTAATTATTATATCAAAACGTATTACAAATCAAGAAAAAATTGCAAAAATATTTCTATTAGTGTCTTATAATACTAATATAATGACATTTGTATAAAAAATTATACAAATATAAGGATATTTTTAACGTTAAGTACAATGACGCAAAAGGTAAATTGATACATTGTTATAGGACGGAGGGAGTAAAAGTTTTGAATAGTTATACGATGTGATATAAATAAGTGTTGATGTGATGATTTAAATATAAAATTAATTTTTAGTAAATATAAAAATAAAAAAATATGTATTTAATTTGATATATCTGTAGAAAATTTTTTATGAACAATGAAAATTGAGGAAAATCTCTCAAACAAAAATACCCTTAAATGTAGAAAATTTGATATTATGTTTTCTGTTTTTTTCGTAAAGATATATACACAAGAATAAAAATGATATAAAAGAGTAATACGATGAATCAAACGATAAAAAATACTAAAATTATTACTCAATGTCACACTTACTGTGTTCACATTTTCATTTCGTTTGTCTTACTTATTCTCTCACTTTTTTTTCTTTTTAATGTCATTTTAAATATATAATTCTTTTTAAAAAATTGAGTGATACTAATTAGTTATCTTAATCTTAATTTAAAATTATTTTTATTAAATAATAATTATTTTCCCTAATACATTTGCAATTATTTACTAATTATACTCTCGTATGTACAACAAATGAGACATCATACTCGAGACGGAGGGAATATTATTATTATTGAAAACTAAAAACAATATATTACATCCGTCCACCGCCAATCTGTCTATTTACTTTTTACACGTTAATATTTCAATATTGATTATTATATTAAAACATAATACAAATTAAGGAAAAACGACAAAAATATTTCTATTGTGTCTTATAATACTACTGTAATGATATTTGTACAAAAAATTATACAAATATAAAAATATTTTTAATGGTAAAAACTATGACGCCAAATGCAAATGGATAGATCGACGGTGGACGGAGATAGTATTATATTTTCTATTTCAATTCAAAGTATTTTTCTATCACTTTTGTTCGTCTCACACAAAAGTATTATTTTTTTTATTATAGTAAAAATAATCACACACTAATACCCAAAACTCTTAAATTTTATATAAATTATAAATGTTGAGATATTTTAATTATTTAGTTTTAGATTGGATTTAGTTATTTTATATTTTAGTATTATTTATTAGGTTTAAATTTATATATTATGTTTATTTATAATATATAGGCCAACTGGACATTGTTATGGCCTAAAAGACATTTTAGAAGCCCATAAAGTTCCAGGCCAAGGCCATAAAGGCCTATATGAGATCCTGACAACGTCATGACATGCTCAATTATCTCTTAATCTAGTCATGTTAGGCTGCCTCTATTTTGATTATGAATAGGGATGACTTATCGTACTGTACTGAAAATATCGATCGATATCGATATCGTACCGAACCTTTAGGTATGGCGAAAGTACATACCGGTACCGTACTGAATGTTTCGATATGATACCGGTATATATCACTTATACCGAAAATATTAATTTCGGTAATGATACCGGCATATACCGCTTATACCGAAAATTTTGATTTAGGTACAATACCGGTATATACCCATTATACCGAAAATTATAATTTTAAATTTTAAAATAATTAAAAAATTAATAAATATCACAATTCTCCACCACAAAAATATTATGAAAAAATAATAAATTTTCAATAGTTTATATATTTTTTGTTATGATTTAAAAAAAAATTATTATTTATATTAATAATTAAATTATTTAATAAAAATAATATCGGTACGGTATCATACCGAAATACCGAACTTTCCGAAAATTCATATCGGTACGATATCCATACTGTACCGAAAATTCTCGGTATTTTCGACACGATAAGGTACGATAAGTCGGTATTTAGGTATGTTCGGTAAATTTATCCATCCCTAATTATGAATAATAATGCAATTTTTTAGTTTTATAATTTTATATGGTATCAGAGCATATTTTTCTGCAGTAGATATAGTTTACTAATCCACGTTTCTCCGAGTACATTCAACCTGGAATATACCCGGAAGTCATCCAATTTTGAGATTTTGACTATAGTTTCTAGTCTTTCAGTTTCTGATTTTGATTATATTTCTGTCATAATTTTGTCCACGATTGAAGTCATGTCTGCGTATTTGTCTGTCATTTGTCTGCCACGTTTCTCTAGAGCCATGTTTCTGACGGCATTGAGAGTCTCGTTATTTCTGACTCCATCAAGAGTTCTGTTATTTTCGACTCCATCGAGAGTCCTGTTGTTTCCGACTCCGTCGAGAGTCTTTGTTTCCGATTCCAATGAGAGTCTCGTTGTTTCCGACTCTAATTCATTTGACAACACTGCTTCTTAGTGCACGGTGGACGATTATAGCTTCATTATCTTCGATCTTTTTTTACAAACTCAAATTGTTTTGTCAAACCGCTTGAGTTTGAGGGGGATGTTGAGATATTTCTGTTATTTAGTTTTACATTCGATTTAGTTGTTTTCTATTTTAGTTTTATATGTTATGTTTAAGTCTATCGAATTTGCATATTATTCCTATTTATATGCCTTTATTTTCATTATGAATAATAATGTAATTTTTTAGTCTATTTTTTCTCACAATAAACACACAATTACACATACATGAAATACAGAAAATAAAAATTTCAAAACTATCTTATACACTTTTACTAACTAAGAAAGTATTAGTATTAATTTTTTAATAATATACTACAAAAACTCAGAAATGATACATTCATCTAGGACAAAAAAGGTATAATACTCCATCCTGCCGAAATAATTATGCAAATATTCTTTTATTTTTTTCTTTTTATCTGCCTAACTTATGCACAATATATATTTTTTTTTTTTTGAAAACAAACTTTTTATTTCAACCATCACGACATTATACATTCCCCTAACATTTTCACCATTCTTGATGGTATTGTCGAACTACATTCATACTAATTCAACCTCACATCATAATACAATTAAAATATGACATTAAAGAAACATCAAACCCTGCTAATTCAACCCTACTAGTATTAAGGTAAAGATATGAAACAACTCATACTCAACAATGAGAAAAACGCATTTCAGAATTGACTTTTTTCCTTTTCCACAAGAAATTAAAAATTAAGCAAACCACAATGCATATTATAGTTATCATATATCATTTTATCACTTCTAATTTAATAAATAATAATTAATTTGATACTATTTTCTACTTAATTCAATATTTTTTTATTAATTTTTAATAATTCATTTTATAATAACCTCAATTAATTTCTTTTACTTCTCTTAATTATTTATTTTATAGAAATGTACTATTATTTTTTATTATTTATACATAAACATCCAGTAGTTTATCAAAAGAAAATATATGTCAGTGAGTTATTAACATATCTCTGTCTCTAAGTCATTTAAAATTTTGTAGTATATTAAGAAAAAAAATAATATTTTATTAGTTAGTAAAAGCGTAATCAAGTTTTTGACATTTTTGCCATTGATTTTATATATAAAGTAATTGTATGTGTAATGATATGTTTCTAATTTAAATAAAAATTAATGGTAATTGGGTATTAATGTATGATTATTTTTCTTAAAATAAAAAATAGATATTTTAAAGTGTGATAGATAAAAATGCTAAAAAAAAAAATAGTACTTTGAATTGATATGAAAAGAGTATTAGATGTTATTTGTTGAGTGGCCACCATATAAATATTAGATTGAAAGAAAAGAAAATTCTAACAAAATTCCACTTCATTTCACACCAACATATAC